GTGTGAGAGAAAAACAAAAACAAAACAAAAACAAAACAAAAAAGGAAAAAGAAGGTACATTTATTATTATTATTAATAATAATAATAATTTGATTTGCCTGTAGAAGTGGTCCAATCGTTTCTGTTCAACTTATATATTTATATAAATATATATATTGCCTTCTCTTCTTTCCCCGCCCCTCTTTCACTCTCTTCTGGCGTTGCGAATGCCCTTCCGTCTGTTACACACGCACGCGCACATGCACAGAGAGAGAGAGAGAGACATGTACATATATGTTATGTACATACAGGCAGGTAGGCAGGTAGATTGCGTCAATGCATAAATGTACCCTGGACGACCCTCGCCCCACTCTCCCACACACACACGCACACACACACACACACACACACAAAGAAAGAAAACAAGAAAAGAAAAAACAAAGGAGAAATAAAGACAGCCACACACGCAACACGTAGGTAAGGAAAAAGCCACGCACGCACAGATATTTGCAGGGGTGAATGGGATGACGACGATGATGATTAATTATACTACGAGGAATAAATCTAAGGCGGTACCACACACACACACACACACACACACACACACACACACACGCACGCACGCACGCACGCACACACCGCGGTTAACGAGGGGTGAGAGAGCAATTGCAATAAAAATAAACAAATCAAGCAACAACAGTAAATAAGTACGGGACTTCAAAGTCACAATGTCGGATGCCTCACCGGCGTCGTGCACACCCACAGCAGCGACGCCGGTGACACAAAAGCGCGAATAGTACACACTTACGCAGAGAGATTTCGCCCTACTCTCTTGGTACTTGAAATCCCCCCCCTTCCCCTTCTCCTCGCAGACATGCACACCATCCTCCCTCCTCCCTTCATACATACATACATACATATGTACAGAAAATACATAAGCATAAAATTACTTCCAGCAGCACCTCAATCACTCCCTCTCCAACGCACCTGCCCACCTCCCACCCGCTTCTGCATGCAAACAAGGGCAAGGCAAGACAAGCACAACCGTATCATGTACAATAACAATGGATAAGTAGGACGGGAGGAAAACGGTACACTGATAAGACGACGGAACACCAAAAAACAAAACAAAACACAAAACACAAACACAAAAACAAAACAAAACACACACAAACACAAAAAAAAGAAAAGGACAAACAAACAAACAAAATTGAGTATAAACTATACAGAGAGCAAAATGCAAAAAAAAAATAAAATATAAATACAACTCACGGAAAAAAAAAAAAAACGTAGGTAACATCCTCTCTTTCAGACGTGTTGCAAGTGAATGCAGCTGCACGTGTGTGGGCGGAGGTCAGGTGGGCATATCTCCACAAGAAACGCACAGAATTAACCTCAACGCGGTGGACCCCCAAAGGTAGGCAGCTGGAAGGTGCAGTTGCTTTTGGAAACCGGGTACACCGTGTGCTTTCGTGTAGGAGTTTCAATGGGCAGCGGGGCACTGCAATTTTGCGTATGTTGACCACCGCGGGAAATAAGTTCCACGGGCCCACTCAAAGACGCCAGTACATCGGTGTTTGCCTGCGACTTGAACGAGCACGAGAACTCGTGTCGTTTCCATTCGTGGTGTCGGGAACTTCCCCCAGGAAGAGGCGAGACACATGGACTAAAGTCCCCGCAGCCGTGACCCCCCCTCAGCTCGAAAAGGCGTGAGCTGGGGCATCGAACACCCAGCGGTGAGGGCGCCCAATCGCCAGAGGAGGAATTCAGACCACCACCAACGCCACTATTCTCATTACGCTGCACAACACCACAACAGGGACTGGGCCATAATGATCGAAAAATACACCCACACCCACTTAGCGGACTTCCGCCTTCATTATGACCGCAAATAGCTAAACAGTCATCGTCATGGCGGGCAACATCGAGCCTCTGTGGTGATTGTAAAATCTCTGAGCGAATGGTAAAGCTCAGTGGACCGCACGCAACAGGAGGGGGCTGTGACATGGGTGAAGCACGCTTTACCGAATCCACCAACCGCTCAGGCCGCAGACGCAGCTCCGGCGGAACGTGTAGAACTGGAAACAAGGCATCTATAGAGGCCTCCTGCGTCTGACTGGCGGATGCGGTGAGTGAGGCCGGCACGGGTGACATCACCGTCATCGCGACACTTTGTTGATTTAATGGACAATCAACAATGTTGGTGGTGCTTGGGGGGGCTCGCATGTAAATGCCGCTGAGGCTCACACTGTTTCCAGTGGGGCCCGGGCCACGCCTCTCCTCAGTCCCGCTATAAGACACGGATTCAGCTTGAAACGCACGCTTGCATTGTATTCCTGCCGCTCCCGCAGGTGACTCTACCAGGGAGTGCTTTGTAAATCTCATCGCCCCCATTGAGGAGAGCGAAAAACAAAAAAGCTTATTCCGGGACGACTCCACGCTGGGCTCTAGGCAACACTGAGAACTGCCAGCATTATACTCGGTGGCAGGGGCAAGTGACGTCTTTTCTACAGAGCTGACTCCAAAGTCTAAAACTCTTTCCTGCAGCAAAGGCCTCGCCCTTCGCGAAGTGGCGTCAACCGCCTCCTCATGACTGCTGGCTCTTTTGCGACAGTGGATACAATTCCCGCGTTGATGTCGGCCGAAGAAGCTAGAATCATTGAGGGCTCCAAGCAGCAAAGAAGACGGCATACAGGAGACGCTTCGTTCTGTTGCCTCTAGCTCTTCTAGCGCCAGTTCCTCAACCGTCTCACTCTCGTTGCCAGTCATTTCTGCAATTTGAGGACACAGACAGTGTGCTACCATCTGTCCGCAAATGTTTTCGTCTAAAGGGGATACGGCGCCTGAAAACGGTGATGCTTGTGGTGATGGTAAGAGCGGGGTGTAGTTGGCATATTCCTGTTTCATGGGTCCACCTGCAGCAACTTCATCCTCCCCACATGATTTGGGGATTACCAGGCATGATACAGCGGCAGAATTCACGCTGGTTGTGGTCGATGATTCCGGATGCAACGGCAACCCACCTTCTGTGGCGTCACGTTGGGTATTACAGGATGTGGTCTCGTCATCTGAGCCAACATGCCACGCTGTGTGTCGCACTGGGGTGCGGGCGGTATCGTCTTTGCAGTAGGCCTCCGTTCCCGCGTGTTGCATAGAAAAGAGTTCAGCTTGGCAGATGCCCGAAGACCGCATTGGGGACCTTGAGTGGCGCTCCATCGCCCGAATGCATTGCAGGAACCCCAGGTGAGGAGACGGCGTTGCGTCACCGGCATCCACCGGTGTGCAGGGTGTCAAGAGCACTCCAGCAGGGTCGAAGACATCCCCTGCGCACCACACACTGGTACACTCCGTCTCCTCCTGCTTCTGCTGAGACTCCTGTTGGTGTGGGCCAACCGCCGAAATCTTGGCGGGGTCCTCTGCCTTCGGTGCCGCCGCCTCTGTTTTATGCCCACACCTCACTGGCGGTGCTTCACGCGGGCACTGCGCACATCCCTCCCCGCTTTTGCTGTCGCGGGAGCAGCAGCAGCAACCACCCCCTGTAGCCGCACCCGCTTGGCCTGACGCATCCTCCTGTGAGAGCTGCGAATACATCCCAACACTTTGGGACGACTTCTGCCAAGGTAACGACGCCGAAGAGGCAACGCCATGCGTGGAAGTCGCCACAGCCGAAGAGATGTCTTTAACCAGAGCAACAGGGGCGTTGCTAAGAAGACTCGCGGTCTTTGTGACCGTTGATGCTGCGGTCACCAGGGGCCCTGTCTGTGCTATGCTGAGCTTCATTGCAGGGGCGAAGCTCTGCTCACTCCTGTTTTGTTGCTTCACCTCCTTCACCTGCCCCTCCCTACAGGGTGGGTTCATTGTGTGGTTTCTCTCACACCTGTGAGTGAGTGCGTGTGAATCCCTCCACCTGCACTCCTGCCACTCTTTTGCTTCCCTTATACACACCCACCCTCCAGGTGGGCCTCGTCTACCGCGCTGTACTCCTCACCCCCCTTCGCTCAGGCGTTCCTACAGAGGGAGGGGGAGGGGGAGGGGGGAGGAGCCGTACAGTTTTTGTTCTTCTAATTGTTGGTGGCGGTGGCAGCAGCAACAACAAGGCGTGAAGAGGAGGGGTGAAAGCAAGTGACAGGATGACAACAAAAGATTAGTTACACGCGTGAAGCTCCCTCCAAATTTCTCCCTTCCTACACCTCCCCCCCCCCCACAGAGAGAGAGAGTTATAAACAAATAAATACGCAATTGCCATTCTGGACGTAGTGCTCCAGTCATCGTGACACACACACCGGGTAAAAAAAACCCCACAGCAAACGCTGGCCCAGGACGGTCAGGACCCGCGACGACATGCCCAGCAAGGCAAGGTGCCTGTGCATGCAGGCGACGGTGCCACGCAGGGCGGCGCGGGCGGCCAACGCGTCCTTCTTGGAGGAGTAAAAATTGCGTGCGTGGGTGCACAACACATGCAGGGATGCCGCAAGACGCGGACGTCGCACATCCTCAAAGGAGTTCCCATCCTCACTGCCCTCGCTGTGTGCCCATGTA